ACAGGATGGGGTAGGGTTTGCTGGGTGGGCTTGGGGGCATATGCTGGCTTCTCCCCGCTCCCTGGCCCACTGTGGGCAGGAGAGGCCTGAGGCCCAGAGGTGGACCCATCCACCCCCAGGCTGCTGGGTCTCAGAGGCTCCTGAGGAGGCGGCATGGAGGTGGGAATGGGCAGAATGTGCCATTGTGTCTCCGATCTGAGTCCTCTCCCCTGGCTTGCTCATCAGCCACATCTCAGTGACCCCTACCTACCTCCCGGGAGTCCACGGCTGCATACATGATGTCCATCCAGCCCTTGAAGGTGGCCTGAGAGAGCGTGGTTGAGTTTGAGGTGAGGGGGCTGCTCCCTGCCTCCATCATCCATGAGTCCCTCCCCCCCAAGTTTGGTCCTCCCCGGAGGCTGCCTGCCCAGAGCCCCACTGCGAAGGCATGAAATAGAGACCAGAGAGGTCTAGACACTACCTCAGGGTCCCACAGCCCCAGAAGCAGGGTGGGCAGCTCCCTAACAAGGAGCGGCAGTGGGTTCAGGTACAACGAGAGACTGGGGGCACCTCCATCCCAGTTCCATGCCAGTCAGTGAGTCACACTCACCACCTGCAGGAGGGAGAGGTAGCCCAGACCCACGTTGTCATAGTTGACCTTGACGTTGAGCCAGCGGACCTGGCCTGTGTGCATCAGGCTTTCGCACTCGGACTTGTTGTTGACCTCAGAGATGTCGAATCTCTCGGACGTGGTGGTGTTGATGCAGTAGTAGAACTTGCCGGCAAATAGGTTGACGCCCATGATGCTGAAGATGAGCCAGAAGATGAGGCAGACGAGCAGCACATTCATGATGGAGGGAATGGCTCCCAGGAGGGCATTCACCACCACCTGGGGGGCCGGGCAAGAGGGTCATTGCCAGATCTTCTCCCAAGCATGTGGGGGAGACCTGGTCTCCTCTGGGAGAGGGATCCCCACCTACACTAACCAGAGGACCAGGCAGGGCTGGGCATCGTTATTCAGGGAAGGCTTCCTGGAGGAGGGCCAATCTGAGCCAGGCCAGGGGGAGAAGTCAACTGGGCTGTATGTGCGGGGGAGGGGTGGGAGTGAGGAGCAGGGGTGGGGGGCTGCCGACCTGGTGGTTGGAGAAGGCTCTCTGCTTGGCTGGAGCCAACAGCCCAGAGTAGGGGTGCTTGGCTTCTTTGGAAGCAGCCCGGCCACGGGTCACCGGGCAGGAGACAAACACTCCTTCCTCGGCCCCCATAGGAAACTCAGCTCCCGTGACCTGGCCCCCTGCTCATCTGCTCACAGCCATTAGAGGCACAGACACAGAAAAGGAGCCACTAGCATCTTCGAAGCAGCAGGACCCTGGGACTGGAGCCCTGTGCCCCACCAGTCCTGGCCACATTTTTCAGGCTGGGCTAAATCTGAAAATTATCCCTTTTCAAGGAGAAGCTGTTTCATGACCTTCAGACAGAGTGGGTGGCACAAGCCTGGTGATGCCCAGGGAGCTCTGTTCCTGGCTGGGACATCACAGTGGGGCGAGGTCCCCAGCTCTGGGGGTGGGAGAGTCCAGCATTAGTTGGCTCCTTGCATGAACAGGAGGGAGCCAATCCTGCAACCAGCTGCTTCACAGAGGTTTGTCCCTCCAGAGTGGGTCTTGTTCCCAACGGACCTTCCTTCGCTGGGGAAGTCCCATTGTCTTGCCCAAACCCTTTATTTATCTGTCACTTCCGCTCTCAAGGGCCTGAGGGGAGGGCGCACAGGCTCAGAGCCTGGGTACAAGCACCTCCTGCTTGCGCTTGCTGGGGTCTCAGAGCCCTGGGGGGGCCCAGTCTGAGGCTGGAGAGGGAATCTGTAAACACACATACCTGCCCTCCTCCCTCTTCTCCTCCCGCCTCTCCTCCCTCATGGCTCTCCTAGGAGCTGCTGCAGCCTCTGCTGCCCCCGAGTGGTGGCCGAGTTGAGCCAAGGAGAGGGCCTGACGGCGGGAATGGGCACTGGGGCTGACATGGGAGGATGTCTGGGGACCCCCAAGCCTGGCCTTCAGCAGGGCCCTGGGTCTGAGCTCTCTGCCTCCCCCGGCGGTGGCTGGAGGACAGTCATGCGCCCCCTGCACCTTGCCCTGTGGTGACTGCTCCCCCAATCCCTAGCCCTACTCAGAGCCCCCTCAGCACCCACCCTCATGCCCTCGAATCGGGACAGTGCCCTCAGGGGACGTAGGGCCCGCAGCGTCCGCAGGGATTTGATGGGTCCCAGCTCGGAGTAGCCCAGCCAGTTGGCCACCAGGCTGATGACGGAGACCTGCAAAGGGAGGGTGGGGTGGTCAGGGAGCACAGGGCCTCAGGACCACAAGGACAGCCGCTGGACCTGGCTGTGGGGCAGGGGGCAGGGTGGACTCACGTCCACGATGAGGAAGTCGAGCCAGCACCAGGCGTTGGTGAAGTACACCTTGAAGCCGTAAGCCACCCACTTGAGCAGCATCTCCAGGATGAAGATGTAGGTGAAGACCTTGTCGGCGTACTCCAGGATGGTGCGGATGACTCGCCGCTGCTCGATGTAGATGTCCTCGAAGGCCTAGGGGCACCAGCACAGCGGGGGGTGGCCAGGGCCCGGTAGGCCAGGGCAGCAGCCACATCCCATACCCTGCTTGATGCTGTGGGTTCCCAGGGACCTGGCATTGGGGCCAGGCCAGGGGCAGGCTGTTGGTGTGTTCCAGACTCCCCACGCCCATCGTGGGGATGAGCAAGTTTCCCAGTGAGGAGAAGCCCCTCGGCTCCCCTTCTCCATGCCTAAGAAGAGCAGCACTCAATCATCTGCTAGGGGGGTTCACAGTGACACAATTTCAATCCTGCCCCCCCACCCCAAATTCCCAGGCCCCTCCCCACCTGCCTGCTAGTTGGGAGCTGTCCCCACGGGCGCACACGGAGTCAGAGCCCATCTGTCGCTTTAAGAAAATTAATACGTTCTACAACATATCCTGCAACCGCAGGTGGGTTCCTTTAGGATTCTCTGGGTTCGGCACTGTCCAGGCTGCATCCCTTCCTGGTATGGAAAGGAGGGAGCGCCGGCAGGGCCTGCTTTGGACCTGGCGCTGCTCTGCCCAAGCCCATCCCCCGGGGCAGTGCCTACCAAGGCTCCACTGCTGAGCAGGATCATGAAGACAATGAAGGTCTCAAACCAGTTGTGCTCCACAATCTTGAAGCAGGCCCTGCGGAGGGTCCACCACATCTTCCCGTGGCCCTGGGAGATGTCCACGTAGAGGCAGGGAAAGCGCTGCACACAGGCTGGGGGAGGGAGGGGGCGGGGCACTGCATCACAGGCCTGGGGATGCACAGTCAGCATGTTCCCACCACCTTCCCAGGATGCCTCTGCCAGCCCTCCAACTCGCTGGCCCTCAGACCTGGGACCCCCACCTCTTCCCAACACCTGGCTCCACGTCCTCCACCGCTGATTGGAAATGGGTGCGAAGTAGGGCGGTCCAACCCCACCCCTCGCGTGGGGACCTCAAGTCCTCCCTCCACGGCCCACTCCAACCATGCATTAACTGCTGCCAGGGATGGACACGCAGAGGAAAGACACAGGGGTGCAGGCCACCAGCCCAGCTTTCGGCTGCCCCCAACCACCCCCATTCTGCCCATGCAGGCTTCACCCTGCACAACCTGGGCCCTTTGGGCAAAAATGTTCCTGCAGGGCTGTCTCCTGAAGGGCTGGGCAGGTCTGTCTCCTGGAGACGAAGCCGAGGAGCAGGATGACAGAGCAGCCATTCCCGAGCACTTGCTTCACAGCCCTCAGGGGCCAGTGCTGCCATCACCCACTGCACACACTTGAGGCTCAGGGAGTCAGGGGCTGGGAGGCACCCTCGGCTCTGACACCCCTTCCCAGGGTTGTATTCTCCGGTGGTGGTGTGGCAGGGCAGGGCGGGGTAGCCTCAGGGAAAGAAGGCCCTGCGTGCTTTTGGTGATGCTCGTGTTCTCGAGGAGGCAACGGGCTGGGACTGGGCCAGGGGTCTGCTGGGCTGGGGGAGGTACCCAGGAGAGGTGGGAGTGCACACACGCGGGCTTGCCCTCACCCTCAGTGAAGCATTCTTCAGGCTGCTCCCCCTCGGGGTTCTCCTCGGCCTGTTCCTCAGGGTCCTCCTCAGGGGGCTTGTAGTCAGCCGTGCTGCAGACGGAGGAGTTCCCGTCGAGGGGCTGTAGCGGCTTCTGCAGGGGCCACAGGGTCACATGACCCCGGGGTCCTCCCACCAGACGGGGCAGAGGAGGTCAGGATGGAGACCAGAAGGGAGAGACCAGAAGGGAGAGGAGAAAGAGGGTGTGGAGGGCTCTCCCATTCATTCATTCATTCACTCAACCCTTGATTACTGAGCCAGCACTGTGGCCCTTGCAGAAGAACGACAGTGACTGAGGTAGCCGTGGTCCTGCCTTCGTGGCACTTAGGTTTGGATCGAGGCAGGGCTGAGGCCTGGGGAGGGTGGCAAGGGCACAGGAGACATGTGAGGGCCTCAGGTTAGGGGGGAGGCTGGGAGAGAAGCAGGCTGGGGGCTGGCTGGGGTTGGCTCAGCCGGGCTGGGGGTTCTGGGAGGTGTGGAAAGGCATGAGGGGGGCAGCAGAGGAATAAGAGGCTTGGAGGTAATTTTGAGGGGGCGTGTAAGGGGGTCAGGACGGAGCTGGGGCTGCCACAGCCCACAGAGAACGGCATGCGGTGTCCCCAAGATCTGAGCCTTCCACCCCCAAGGGCTGCTTGGCTGAGGAATCCAGAAAGGATGGAAACTTTCCCCCAGCCGAAGCTCCAGCCTGGGGCCCAGGGACCCTGATGGGAGTGGGGTGGTTGGGGGAGGCTGGTGCTCCACTTGCCAGGCTTCCCCTCATCTCCTCCTGGTGCTGTCTCAGCCTCCCAGCCCCAGCCTCCACTCCTCAAGGGGATCCCTTCATGGCTGGGGGTGAGACCCATGAAGGGGAAGATGGAGAGGGCAGCTTGGGGTGCAGCTCTGGATCCAGAGTGGTCACCAGAAAACCAGAAAACTGGTCCTTGTGCCCAGTTGACAGAAAGGGAAACTGAGGCACGGGGCATTAGGTCAGCTAGGGCATTCACTGAGCCAATTGCCCTGCCTGTGTGCTCCAACTCCCACAATCCCCCTTGGAGCCGTGCTTGCCCCCCTTTAAAGAGTCCCCAGCCTTGGCCCTGGGCGCTCTCCAGCCCTCCCCCACCCCCGCTTCTCATACCGAGGTCGGTGCCACATTTCCCCAGGTATTTATAGCTTGGCAGGCACTCGGCCCCCTGGTAAGTCAGTGCGCCACATATTTAGGGGGAATAAGAAATCAAGAGCTTTCAGGGCAAAGTTCAGCCAGGCTCCGGTGCCCAGCCAGGCCCCCCACGATAGATAGGGCGGGAGTGAGCAGGGGGTCCTGCCCTGGCTTATGTGCTAGTCCTTCCCCAGCCAGAGCCGGAGGGTGGGCGACGGGGCTCAGAGTCCGCTCCCCTGGGAGGCCCAGGCAATCCCCAGCCTCAGCATGAGCTTCTGGGAGTGACCACCAGTGCCTCCCCAACCCTCGCAGGGGAGGGCAGGAGGAGGGCATCTCCGCCCGGCACTGGGCCCCCTGCATGGGCTGGGGGGTGGGTCAGGACTCCCGCTGAGGCTGTGCCCCAACTCTCTGTTCTCCCAACCCCATTGGACCCCTGGCCCTCTCCTCAGTCTCCAGCCTGGACCCGGCACTTTGGCCCACACTGGGAGGTTGGGGGCAGCCCTGGGTGGGGTCTAAACAGAAATAGATGATAATGGCAAGGACCTGGAAGGGGCTTCAAGCCCAGAGGCAGTAAGAGAGGCCTCTTGGGTCCCAGGCCTGGAACTGAGGTGCCCAGGTAAGAACATCCTGTCCAAGACTGCCACCTGCTGGTAAGAAGGGGCCCAGGTGGAGCTGAGGAGCGGGAGTGAAGGGAGGAGAGACTAGGGTGTTAGGACAGGCGGGGCAGATCCTAATAACCGTACTAATAGGGGTAATAACAGTCACCATTCACAGAGAGCTTGCTATGTGCTTTACACACAGCATCTCATCTAATGGTCACAACAACGCCACAGGGTGCGTACCATTACCCCCATTTTACAGACAGAAAAACTGAGGCTTGGAGAGGCTTTGTGACTTGTCCAAGGTCACACAAAAATGTGAAGCCATGTCTATCTCACCCCCGACCCCTCAAGCCGGGCCCTGTGATGGGCTCACCTTGCTGTCCTCAGGCTCCGAGAAAGTGTCAGTCTCCTCCTCTGTGGGCATGTCTAGGTCGGACTCCTCGGAGGCGATGGGCACGTGGATGGTCAGGTATGGGTTGTTGATGAAGTTGAGGTGGTCCAGCTCGACGCTGTTGGGAGTGCCATCAGCCAGGCCCATGTGGTTCAGGATGTGATTGTCCTTCTTCAGGTCTTTTTCATCCTCCTCGGGCGGCGGCTCCTTCTTCTCATCCTCGGGGGCACTCTCCCTGGCCTCCCCTGCCTCCTCGGCCTCCCCAGGCCCCCCGAGGCTGAGCATGATATCCTTGGGCCTCAGGATCTTGCCATGCAGCAGCCCCAGGAGGAAGGCTTTGGCGAAGCCAATGCCCCACTTGATGCGCCAGATGGCGATCTGCAGGTTGTTCATCTCGCCATCTTCGTCCGAGGCCGCCAAGCTGTCAGCGCTGAAGGAGCTCAGCAGCAGGGCCAAGAAGAGGTTCAGGACCTGGAGAGCAGGGGTTGAGGGGAGGCTCAGCTCAGCCTCCGGGCTCCTTAGGGTGCCGCCTTCAGCCACCACGAGGGTCCTCAGGCCTCCAGATCAGACCTACCACATGTTGGGCATTTAAAAGGTTGTCACTAATGGAATCCTCACAACTGCTCGTGGAGGTGAGGAATGTTACTATCATTCCCACTTTGCAGATAAGGAAACTGAGGCTTGGGCACATGATAGGACTCTGCTGGCCAAGGCAGAGGCAGGGTTTGGGGATGCCCACTGGGTGACAGGGACTCTCTCCCTGACTCCACCTCCACTGCCGGGAAATGCAGAACTAAGAACAGGGCTCACGTCTCTGAGCTTCCAGGACTTATTAGGAAGCCGAACTGTTTGAGCCTTCTTTCTTTTCTAAGTGGGACTTTTAATAGACCCTGTGCTTCCTGGTGCTCAGATGCACATCCCGTATTGTTCTGGAAGTGACATTGACCTACTGTTATTTACTCCCTTTTCTCCCCTTGGGGTTCCCTGGTTCTCTTCCCATATCCCTACTGAAAGGGACTTAAGAGACTACTGGCCTACCCCACCCTCAACTTTCTTTTCCAGTGGACATTTACTGAGCGCCTCTCACTGTGTGCAGGAGCGAATGGCCTCAGGGAGCTCCCAGCCTAGCAGAAACAGGCATGTGATCAGACAAATACAGTGCAGTGGGTCTGCACAGCAGTAGAGACTGGGGTGCACAGGCTTTGAAACCATGCTGCTTGGCTTTGAACCCCAGTTTACCAGCTATGTGTCCTGAGGCAAGTTATATCACTGTTCTGTGCCTCATTTTCCTCATCTGTATAATGGGGATGATTCTAGTACCTACCTCCTTGCACCATCATGAAGATTAAAAGATCAATACAAGTAGAGCACACAGCAGGCACTCAAATCATGTTGGCTGTTATGTGTGCAATAAGACCATACAAAGTACAGGGAAGAGTGTGATTAACCCTGGGGCCAGCTCAGCATTTTATTAATAAGGAAACTGAGTCCCAGAGAGGTGAAGTGACTTGCCCTAGGACACACAGTACAGTCAGGACTAGAACCCTGGTTTCCAGTGACTGCACAACTTTAGAGGACATCATTCATTTAGACTACAATGTGAAGGGCAACCCTAGAGGTTGTGCAATACAGTACCCTTGCTTCCACCAGTCCACCCTGCACAGTGAGGAGGAAGGTGAAGCCTGGCTGGGTGCAGGTCCTGGCTTCTGTCAGCCAGAGACAGGGCCAGGTCTTACCATGGGGGCCTTGGGTTGGGGCTGGGTGTGTGACAGGACACGAGGGAGTAGGGGAGTCTGTACATGTGAATCAGCCATCCTCGACCATCTTCTCCACATGTCTCTCGTTGGCATTCACCAGTATACTCCAAGGTCTTTTTGTAGTTATCTTAACTATCATGTAACCATAATATCTTTAAAATATATATATTATATATTGTATATATTCTTTTTTTGGATGAATGTGCTGGGGGGATTCCTCCCCACATCCATGCCCCCTAGCTACTTTTCTGCCTTTGCCCCCCACCAAAATTTATTAGTCTTTCTTTCCCTCCCTCAGGGGGAGGTGTCCAGTTGCCAGAAACACATCTGAGATGGGAATTAGCTGCTCTCTGGGTCAGCAGGGTTTGCACATGGCTCCTGCCTGCGACAGAAATAGCCGCCTCAGGCAAGGGGGGGGGTCGGAGGGAGGGGGGATGGACATCATGCTCCCCGGGGGGCTCTGAGGGGTGGGATACCTATGACTTAGTCATTTCCTCTTCTTCACAGCAACCCAGAGGACGTGCCCAAGTGCCATGGACGCAGGGGACATGGGTCCCCACACTCCTGACAGGGTGCCCCGGCGCCCTCTGGCAGACTCTTGCTTCCAAGAGGCCTGGGAGGGCGGTGGGCGGGGACAGTGTCCGAGGACCTCACAGTGCCGCCTCCCTTGGCTGCTCTACTTCCTCTGAGCAAAGTGGGAGAGCCACAGAGCCGGGCCAGAAAAAGGTGTCAGTGGTGTGTGTGTGTGTGTGTGTGTGTGTGTGTGTGTGTGTGTGTGTGTGGGAGATGGGAGGGTGGGGTGACACGCCCACAGAAGCAGTGCAGTGCAGTGGTTCCACACTCTGGAGCCTGACTGCTTGAGTTCAAATCCTGCACAGGTTGCTAATTTACCTCCCTGAGTCTTTGCTTCCTCATCTACAAAACAGAGAGAAAACAGCACATCCCTCATCGGGTGGTGGTGAGCCTTAAGAGACGAATACTCGGAAAGCGCTCAGAATGCTGGACTAACATAAACACAGGTCAGCCGTCATCATCATGATTGCTGGTGTTGACGTTATCATTATTATCATGCTGCTATTACTGATGTTACTGTCATTGGAGTTACACAGACCCAGCGTCTAGTCCGGGCTCAGGTTCTCACCAGCTGTGTGGTTCTGGGCAGTACCTCCTTGGAGCACGGAGCCAACATTACCTGCCTGACAGGGCTGTTGAGAGCACTGGGGATAATGCATGTAAAGCCCTTGGTGCAGGGACCAGCACATGGCAGGAGCCCAATACTCAGGAGTATGACTCCAGTGGCAGGCACCTAAACAATTACTGGCCCCCACAGGCCTTAACATTTGAACTTCCATGGCCTCGTGGGCCAAGTGCTTTGCTAAGCACTTAGAAGTGTGTCATGTAACCCTCAGGACCACCCAGTGAAGTACGTCCGCCATTAGCAAACTCATTTTACAGATGAGAAAAACGGAGGCCAGAGAGGTTAAACAACTTGCTCAAAATTTCCCAGACAGTAGTGGCAAAGTGGGGGCTTGAAATGTTGAGTTTATACGCATACAGACAGAAACCCTCTCAGTCACTCCCAGGCCCTGAAACTTACGTTCACAAACTGCTACTCAGAGCCTGCTAGTCCCACCCCGATCCTGTCCCAAAGTTCTGTCACTCCCCACACCCCCTCCCAGAGACAGCCAGCCTGGGTTCTCCTGTACAGCTGTCCCTGGGTGCTCGGGACCTCATCCCACGGTCTCCTCAGTCGAGGTGACACCGCCCCCCCACCCCACTCCGCCCCTGCCCCCAGCCGGAGCTCGGCGATATCCGAGAAGCGCTGACCCAGCAGCCCAAGGATTCCACAAGCCTTTGTGGAACGTGGGGACGTGAGTCTTCCCACCCCCTGTTGCCCAGGGCAGTGTCGCCCACCACAGGGCACAGCACTCCTGGCAGGAGTGAACCCCATCCTGAGAAGGGGAGGAGTCCGGGTCGGCAGGGTGAGGAGAGGCGCCTCCCCAGACCCCAGCCACAGAAATTCTGGTCAGCTGGACCATGGCCCATCCCCCTGTTTCTCATTGCGCCCTGCACCTCCTCCCCTGCCTCAGCCCCACATGCCAAGCTCTAAGCCACAGAAAGTGTCAGGATGCATGCAGGTTATGCCGTCTCTGGATGCCTCCCAACTCCTGGGGCCCGACTCCCAGGAACAGAGGAGGGTGAGAGGGTGGGAGAAGGACAAGAGGTCCAGCAGTTCCTGGGACCAACCCCACACCGTGCCTTCTTGCACACTCTCACAGTCAATCCACCCAGCCACCCTATGAGGTACCTACCATGCTTCTTCCACATGAAGTTAAGAGAACCCAGCTGACCAGAGGGCAGTCAAGGTCACACAGATGGCGAAGGAGCTGGGATCGGAACGTGGGTCTGTCTGACTCCAGTTATCATGTTACTTTACCCAAAACACTAGGCTTCAACAGTACTACTCACAGTGTGGTCCCTGGACCAGGGGCAGTGACACGGCCCAGAGCTCGTTAGAAATGCAGATCCCTAGGCCCCAGCCTGGAGCTGCTGAATCAGACTCTGGGGGTGGGGTGGGGCCAGGAATCTAGGTTTTAAGAAACTCCCAGGTGATTCTTAAGCAGGTTGAAATTTGAGAACCACTGGGTTAAACCATATAAAATTGTTATTTTGACGGGGGGAAGGGTAGACAACAGTCAAGTATCAGTGATTTCATACAGTTCAACCTCATCGGTAAAAGGCCCTCAAATGGCAGCCTGATTTAAAAGGATGTGTCCTACAAGCTTGGGTTTTCTGGGCAAGGATGGGGAGCCACCTGGCCAGCCTCACTCACCACCAGGTTGCCGATGACCATGACCATGAGGAAGACGGTAAGGCACATGGCCTGGCCGGCCACCTCCATGCAGTCCCACATGGTCTCGATCCACTCCCCGCACAGGATGCGGAAGACGATGAGGAAGGAGTGGAAGAAGTCGTGCATGTGCCAGCGGGGCAGGCTGCAATCCGAGGCGATCTTGCACACACAGTCCTTGTAGCTCTTGCCGAACAGCTGCATGCCCACCACGGCAAAGATGAATACGATGATGGCCAGCACCAGCGTCAGGTTGCCCAGCGCCCCCACCGAGTTGCCGATGATCTTGATGAGCATGTTCAGTGTCGGCCACGACTTGGCCAGCTTAAAGACGCGCAGCTGCAGGGCAGGGGGAGGGCAGGGGGAGGGCAGGGGTGAATGAGGCCCAGGGAGCCCCGGCCCAACCTGAGGGAGCCCCATCCTTAGGAGAAAGAACTATCTTGTATAGCTTGAACCTCTACCCACTGAGTGATCGGACGCCTCAGTTTGCCTCTGTTAAATGGGAATACAGTAGTCCCTCCTTATCCGCGGGGGATATGTTCCAAGACCCCCAGCAGATGCCTAAAACCGTGGATGGTACCAAACCCTAAATACACTACGTTTTTTCCTATACATACATACCTATGATAAAGTTTAATTTATAAATTACTCACAGTAAGAAATTAACAACTACTGCTAATAAAATAGAACAATTATAACAATATACTGTAATAAGAGTTACCATAGATCTTAGCAACCTCAGCATACGATTTTTTTTCTTTCTTTATTAAGTTGAGAACTTTCATCTTTTCACTTAAAGGAAGCACTTTATGGCTTCTCTTTGGCATATCCAAATTGCCAGCATCGCTAGTCTTGAGCTTTGGGGCCATTATTAAGTAAAATAAGGGTGACTTGAACACAGGCACTGCGATACTGCAACAGTCCATCTGATAACTGATGGCTACTAAGTGACTAATGGGCGGGTAGCATATACAGCTAGATAGTGGATATGCTAGAAAAAGGGATGATTCATGTTCCAGGCGGGATGGTGTGGGATGGCAAGAGATTTCATCATGCTGCTCAGAATGTCATGCAATTGAAAACTTATAAATCGTCTATTTCTAGGATTTTCCATTTAGTATTTTTGGACCACAGTTGTCTGCAGATAACTGAACCTGTGGAAAGCAAAACCATGGATAAGAGGGGACTATCGTACTCATATCCTACCATCTCATCCTCGTCATGTTCAAAAGAAAAAGAGTCCTTCTCTCTTAAAGATACAGACGACAGTATCTACAAGTGAAATTGTATGTTGGGATTTGCTTTAATGTATACCCCCCATTAAAAAGCGGAAGGACGGGTGAAACAAGAACTGTAGAAGGTTGTTGGTTGTTGGGGCTGGGTGATAGGCACACAGAGGTTATTATGCTTTATACTTTGGGGATATGTGAAAGGTCCCACAATAAAGTTAAAAAAATTATAAACGTGCTCCTATGGGGTGGTGGAAAGGACACTAATTCAGAGTCCCAATTCCACCACTAATGAGCTTCCTGAGCCTCAGCTTTCAGGTCTGCAATATGGGGCCGAAGTCCCCGCTCCACTGCCGCCCAAGGTGACTAAGGAGTCAAGCCCGAAAGTCAGCTCCTGCGGCCGTAATTTTGGCCCCCAAGCAGCCCTGTATGATGAGGGGTAGGGCCCCTTTTCTCCCTATTTGTAGTAGGAAAGGTTCTGAGAGGTGGAGTGGCTCACACAGGGCAGAGGGGCCTCACTTTCAGCCCTCTGGCTTCTTGGGGGTTTCTCCTCCCACCCTCCTTAGCACCCTCAGCCCACCGCTCCTCAGCCCTGGCCCTGGGGCCGCACGCACCAGACGGAAGGAGCGGAGCACGGACAGCCCCTGCACGTTGGCCAGGCCCAGTTCCACCAGGCTGAGGGTGACGATGATGCTGTCGAAGACGTTCCAGCCCTGCTGGAAGTACTTGTAGGGGTCCAAGGCGATGAGCTTCAGCACCATCTCGGCTGTGAAGATGCCCGTGAAGACCTGCGGGGTGGCGTGCGTCCCCGTCACAGAGCCTCAGGGAGCACAGGGCCTTGGCAGTCTGCCACCTCCTCCCGGCAGAGCCCGCGGAGCCCAAGGGGAGGGGTCCAGAGCCCTGAGGGGGCAGGCAAGTACCCACGCCCCGCACGCGTGTGTATGTGAGTGGGTGAGGAGTGGAATGGCCATGCCACAGGGCAGGGTGAGTACCACCCAGAGACCTGGACCCATCGTTTCTGGCCTCATCACCATGGGCCAGTCACTTAACTTTTTGGAGCCTCACCTCAATCATAATAATATACAACACTCATAAAGTGCTCTGTGGTTCACGTTATGACCTCAGTGGTGTCCCGACCTTTATGAAATTGGGAGGGATTATCACGCTTGTCCCAGAGATGAAAAATTGAGGCTCAGAGAGGTTAGCGGCAAGCTCTTGATCATGCCGCCCATATGGGAATGAGTCAGGTCCCAAACCCAGGTCTTGGCGTGCTTAGTTCAGTCTCCTGTCTCTACACCCTACAGCCTCTCTACCTTGGTTGGTGGGGGTCCCAGGACTCAGAAAATCTTGGTGGACTCGAAATTCTAGGGCAGGGGCCAAAAGGGGGCAAAGTCGGGGGTCAGGGAAAAGGCCAGAGCTGTATCCTGCAACTCTGGACATGGAGTCTGAGGGCTGCATAGCCCCTGAACGCTCCCTGGGCACGGCTCCACCTCCTGCCGGGCACCAGCTGCCCTGGGTCCACAGCCTGCCCGGGCACATGCTGAGCCCCGCCCAGGAGCTGTCCCTGGCCATAGCAGGTGCCCAGACGGCATGAGGGTGTGGGCAGGGGGTGGGCAGGCGGGGGGCCGGGCCCTTCATGCACACCCCAGCAGCTGCCCTGTGAGTCCAGATCACGCTCTTGCCCCTCCAGCCCATCCTGGCCACGGCTGCCTCCGGCATCTCCACGGGATAGACAGGCCTGCCTTCCTCACAGGCTGGGGAGTCCAGGGCCTGATTCCCGTGCCACCCACCCAGTTCTTGTCCTGCTGCAGGCCCCAAATCTTACTCTCCCTGGGCTCCCCTCACGCTTGGAGTGGGGGGAGCACCTTGCCCATCTGCCATCCTGGAAACATTGCAAAGGGAATTGGGAAGGGTGGGGCAGGGCTGGAGGAGGAGGCGGCCTTTTCCCTTTGTCAGGCTCCACCGGGGCTGGAAACGAGGTGCTAATGCTCCTAATGGGCAGAGATAAGCAGGCGGATCAGTGTGTGTCAACAATAGTGAAGCAGGAAGGGCCAGTGAGGGGAGCTGGCCTGGCCATGCTGGAGAAATGGTAGCGGGCAGGTGGGCTGAGGGGTGGGGGATATGCCCTGGGGCCTCCAGGGTGAGCTAGGGCCCCTTGGGCCTGGGTACCCATGGCTCTGTGCCCCACTTCCAGGTCCCTTGGTCCCTCTTAGGCCCATAACAACCTCTGAAAGTAGAGAGACTTGTCACCCAGCCGCCCTCACTCCTACCTCCATGCCCCCACTCCGCCACCCTGCCTCCAGGGCATGGCCTGGACCCCAAACCCTGAGGAGTCCTGATCTTAAGAAGTCCAGCACCTCATCCCCACTCTCTCTGCCCCCAAATTCCCTGAAACTCAAATTCCACATCCCATAGATCACTCCATGTACCTCCCTTGCACATCAACCATTCCCTGCATACACTGGGAAAATAACCACAGCCTGTCCCCATACGCCCCCCAATAGTGTCTCGTATTTCCACACAGCCCAGACAACCCTTCAGGCCCTGTGGCCCCCCTCCTGACCTGCCCTAGAATGACACCTGTCCCTTGTCGCCTCCCTACCAGGTTGCCCACGCTGAGCACTCTGTCAAAGTGCTCCGTCATGGGGTAGTGTTCCATGGCCATGAAGAGGGTGTTGAGCACGATGCAGATGGTGATGCCCAGGTCCACGAAGGGGTCCATGACGATCAAGTGGATGATGTTCTTGAACTTCATCCATGGGGTGCAGCAGTTCCATATGAGCACTGTGTGGGCACACTTGTACCACCATGGCGGGCACTTCTGGTGGGCCTCTTCCAGCTCTGGGAGTAGGGTGGAAACAGACAGCTGATGAGGAGCCCCCTCACGTGCTCCTTTCTCCATCTAGATCTTTGGTCCCACCTTCCAAGCCCGGCCCCTTAGCGCTCCACACCTCAAACCCCATCCCCTCAGCGAGGACTATTCCAAGCCCCGCCTCTCAGTGCGTCACCCTCCAGACCCCATCCACACGGCTCTACCCCTCAGTGCCTCTCCCCCAAAGCCCGGCTCCTTAGTGCTCTGACTCTCAAAAATCCACTCCCTCAGGGAGCCTTACCAAAGCCGCTTCTCTCAATGCTCCACTTCCAGCCCTGCCTTCTTGACACACCCCGCAAAGCCCCTCCCTCAGTGTCTTCCACCCCTGCCAGTCGCCCGTGGCTGCAATCCTATCCCCAGGGAGAGGCAAGAGGCCATGCAGGGGGTTGGTCCCTGTTCCACTTGCTGCCGGACAGTGCCACTTGGGAGCAGACTGAGATTCCCCTGAGGGCTCTTCCTCCCATTGCCAGTAATGCTGGCCCCTCCAGACTGTCCCCAGCCAGTCCATCCTTTCCCACCAGAGTGGCTTTCTGGAAACACCCCCTGTCCTTGCCAGCCGAGCTGTAAAGCCCTGGGGCTCTGTAAGGCTCATGGATGAAGCTGCTCCTCCTGGCCGTCCAGGCCTCCTCTGCCTGTGGGAGTCCTCAGCCTAGGCATGATCTCATTCAATTACCACCAGAAATTTATCAGGTTAGTACTGTTAGAGCCCCCATCTCATAGATGAGGAAAGGGGCTGGAGTGGGGGACAGCCCCAGGGAGACGTGAGTGTGAGTGCATGATTGGGACACCCCAGGGCTGAGAGTGGCTGACCCTCACCTCCACCCAGGAACTAGCAAACTGGACCTCTCTCAAAGGCTGCAGGTTCTAGCCTGACTGTAACACCCCCAGCTACTGTGTGTAGCTACCATGTGCTACTGTGGGTGACTCCAACAGTGTCTGAGGCCCCAAACTTCTCGCAATGGTCCCAGCAAGGGCAGCATTGAGTAACCTCCTCGGCCAGCTCTGCCCAGCATTCCCTGGGGCATTCTCTGGCTGTGCACACAGACACCGGGATGCCGGTCATGCAAGGTGCCCTCTAGAGGTTTGCAAAGTCCTCTAGGACCTCCAAGTCCTCCCTGGGACAAGGCAAGACGCCTGGGAAGGGGACCAGATCTCTTGTATGTCAGATATCCTTTCTTCCTCCCTCCCTCCCCCTCATCCATACGTACACCCATCTGCCCCTTTCCATCCATTAACCTTTCAGCCCATCCATCCATCCATGCATCTGTGTATGTGTCTGTCCACCTCTCCTCATTACCTCATCCTTATTCTCCTCCTGAGACTCAGGGGTAGCATGGGGATTTGAGGGAGTCGGTGACTCTACCTGGGCAGAGTTTGACCTTTCACTTTTAACTTTTACCCAGAAGGCATTTTAGGAGCAAGATCTCCAGTTTCCAGAACATTAGACCTTCCTGGTTAATATTATTATCCGGTCCTTCCCCGTTGCCTTGGCAGCCCCCAAGGCCCTCCCGGAAGCCCCCAGTTCCCGCAGCAGCCCTGCCTTGCAGCCAGAACTGGGCCAGGTTAAGCCAGGACTATATTTATCACAGCCATTTCTTCGATGCCAATATTAAGTTACTGTCCTCCTGAAGCCCAGCCAGGTCCCTCCCCATCCCCCCCACCCAGGAGCCTGAGTGGCCTGATGGGTGGGACAGGCAGAGTGGGGTGGGTACGGGGGTGTCAGGCACTCACCTCCCATAGCATCTGAGATGCCGCTGTCTGCACTGCAGCTCTGCCTTGGGGGCCCCTTCTCCCCTGATGACGTGTCCAGGCTGCCGTTACAGTCTTTGCCGCGGGCTGGGTCCCTGCCTGCCTCCCCACCTTCCAGAGCCTGGTCAGTCTTGGCCTGTGGACCAGCAAGGGTGATGGGCATGAAGTCTATCTCTGAGCCAGGGGGATGGACTAATCAACTCTCAGAGCTTCTTCCAGTTCCTATAGAATGGGGGCCCTTCTTGGCCTGCACTGAGCCTAGCGGAAGGGACAACCTCGGGGTGGTGGGAGTCACTGGGAAGGAACCAAAGTGACTGAGGACCCTCATCCCTGAAGACCCTCCACTCTCTGAAGCCCTGACCCTGCACTTCATGAGATGATGAGAAAATGGGCAGCTGCTCCCTGAGGCCTCATCGAGACCTGCCTCTCCCTCAACATGGACCCATGTGCTGCCCAGAAAGAATCTTAAAACCATAGATATTTGAGCTGGAGGGCTACTTCAGGTTTAACTACTC